TAGTTTCAGGTGGACGATGGATGAGCTTGTGCTTTAGGCCATCTAGCCCTTCTACACAGATATTTTTGCCTCTGCTGGTAGCTACTCCATGGAATGTAAACTCATGCCTCTGAATAGCCTTTAGCAAAGGCTCAGCCGGTCTGTGCTGCCCTCTCATGGGCACACATCGGCAAGGTTATGTTTTATTCTGGTTTTTTGAGTTTTTTTTTTAGTTCAAGATGTTTTTTAACTGCTACTCCAACGCTGTTTTTCCACATGTGATTTCTGAAAAGCCAGGAAGGCTTAGAACAACTACTAAGAGGTCTATGGAAGCTAACTAGGAAAAGTTAGCTCAGCTTCTACCTTTCTAAAGGGCTTTGCTCTTCATTTACAAAGATTTAATCATCTAATGGGGCATAACACAGGGAGCTATGGCTAAACTTGTCCCACATGTGTTCCTATCTGCCAAGGCAAACATATATTATCATCATGGCTTCACACCATGGTCAAGGAGTCTCTCAAGATAGCTCTCTTATGCTACCAAGGATTTAGATAACAGGGCCAAAAGCTCGGTTCTCCAATGGGCAGTGCTTGCTTTCAGTACTGTGGGGTTTCAACAAACTGGCAATGCTGTCCTTCACTAATCTCCTTAAAAGGAGGCAGGATACTACGCTAGACCCAAGGATATACTTATATATATTGTATAAACAATAGTGGGATTGATCTGCTCTTCAGAGGGACTCGGGTGTTCATGATGTTTATGTAAATTTGAGACACTTAAAAACCTTTGAGTCTCTGACCATTTGCTTGCATGCAATACAGCCTTCCCCCTAATGTCTACTCACCTGTCTGAACTCCAAAAGCTCCTCAAGGTGGGAACTGTTTTTCTTCAAAGGCTGGTATGACCTGTTTTTTCCATTAACAAACAACTGCAGTATTACACATGCCTTTATTCACCCATTTCCTGTTTTATGCTAGAAGTTAAGCTGAGCAACAGGAAGGAGGAAGGACAGAGGTCACCTCTTTTCCTTACAAACTCCCTAACCCTAACATGGATCCTGCCTCCCAGTTAATAATAATTTTTAAGGCTGGACCACATGATTCTAAATAAGGCATTTGCCTTAAAGACTTGTAAGCTTATAATGAAGTTTCCATGGCAAGTGTGAACTGAGAGTTGCACTCCCAATTGCTTCCCTTTTTATTTTGAGAACTGCACTAGATAGCTGTGCACCTTTGTAAGTCTGGCTCTGTGCAGCCCTATGTCCCTCTACCTATTATCTCTTTAATGACAATGAAAAAGATGCTCGTTTTGGTCTCAAAGTAACAATGTCAAAAAAAAAAAAAAATTAGTCCATCTCATTGTTTCTTTCCTGTTATTATTTCACTGCAGTTTATGACATGACACCACCAGTTTCTCCTCTTTTCTGCCCTGGAAGATAGTTTACCCCAGACTCCTGGATGAATAAGCCATGGAGATGTCCTTCCTAGTGCTTGAGAACAATAGGGTCTGTGACAAAAGAGGGTGAGCCATTCCCATCTGTGAGAGGAGTTGCATGGGGAATTGAGATGATAGCCGTGAGGGAGAAGAGCCACTCCATTCATTCATACCAGGAATTTCTAAAGCAGAACAACTACTGGGGTGTCCACAGTCAGTTTCCAGTGTTGAATTATGTATACAAAAATCTCTTGCATCTGCTTTGCCTAAATTCTTCTGTTCTGCAGTGACATTCCAGCCTTTCTCCAGGAGATGATGAATGACTGTTCATCCAGCCTATGTCTCTTCAACAACTCAAAGTCCTTCTTTTAATTATTGTATGCCAAACTGTGGCCGTGAGCTTTTGGTGATGCTGCTACATCAGTGTTGTCCATAAGGACAGTCCCCAAAAAAGGAATGCAGCCATGGATAATAATGCCTGACCTTAAGGAAATATTTCTTCATTTTCTCCTGCATTTCATCTGGATGAAAGAATGGTGAAGAGAAGCTTTCTCTGGAATACAACCTGGAGGCATGTCAGACAGGGTGTGATCAATTTGCCTCAGTATGTTCCCTTTCCAAGCACTTCCACATTCTCCAGTCTTCAGCTGGAGCTCTCTTTAGCTAAGCTCTTTGCTGGACTTTACCCAGAGGTTATTTTCTTCCATTTCAGACATGAAAGCAGTTGCTGCTGCCTACTATGAGTTCCACACAATTGTGAAACTTTGAAATCAATGGCATTTAACTAGCTTAAAGTTGGTGTTATATGGCAGTGATTCATATCCAGTGAGTCACAATGAAATGTCTCATGCTGTAAGCAGCTGCCCATTGAAGAGAGATCTTGCCTGTGCCCTCCACCTAAGATCCAGAGCAGAGGCTGCGTGAACTTTTCAAAGGATTTTTAATCAGCAGTTACAACTTTTTTCAGCTGTTACCACTTTTTTTCCCCCATTGGTTAGAAGCAGTACACAGTAACTTCAGTATTGCTTGGGGCAGCTGAGTCTTTTCAAGTTCCATACAGAGATGGCAGAAAAAAGAAACTGATGTTTTGGTCCAAGAGACCTATTTTACAAGGACTGCACTTTCCTCCTGATTGGCTCCTCTGCCTCCTGCCTCTGGAGGAGCACAAGGTTCACAACAGAAAGAGTCTGGGCACCATAACACCATGCCATTTGGCAGATTAACTGGGTGTTGCACCTCTGTGCCTGTCCATGGATGAACAAAAAAATCTTTTCCTTGAAAATAATGTGTTTTCTCAGTACCCAGCTCATACTGCAGAGGAATCATCCTTGGGAACTACAAACTACCTCCAACTTCCACACCTTCCACTTCATGACTTATCCATTAGAAGTACACAGAGATACAGGTGTGGTAAAAAAACCCAAACCACCCTTTCCAAAAGAATGCACTTCAGTGCACAGCCATTTCCCTTGTGGAGAGGAGAAAGAGCAAACAGCAGATGTTAGTCACGTTGCCTAGCACTCTGGAGGGCATTCAAATGTGCTGTGACTAGTGTGCTGAAAGGACTTATATGGAAGAGTTTCGGTTGCACACGAGGAACTGCTAATTCCTTCTGAGCACTCAAGGCAAGAAATTTAATGACAGTTTAATGTCCTGTTGATAAATGTCCATTTACAAAGAAGAAATAAGGATCCAATGGTTTTGGAAAGAAATTGTGGAAAAGGGACAGTCACTCTGGAATTATGACTACAGTAAAAGTTTCCATTTTAAATCTAACTTTTCTTCTTTTCTTCAGCACAGAAAAGCCTTCTTATACAAAAACAGCAGTGCCTTAGTGTGAAGTAGATTTTTTTCCTAGAGCTAGAGTGTATTTATCAGAATAAGTCTGAAGCAGATAAAAAATACAGCTGTGTGACACTACCTTAATCACTGTAATCTGCAAACATTCTGGAGGATGCTTTTTTGTTTTCATAAAATTAAGTTTGATCATCTGAGAAGCTTGAGGTGAAGGAGGTAACATTTCTCCTTAGCTCATGGTAAGCACCCCAAGATTTCTGATCTAAGTCCTTGAGTCCTTGCTCAGAGATTATATCATCCCCACCCCAACTCTGAATGCCGAAGGATTTCCCTTGGCCCACTGCCTTCCTCAGTCTCATGCCATCTACACATGCCAACTCCAGGCCCACAGAACTTGTCCTGGGTACAGCCTCATTCATCTCTTGAAAACTGCTCCTCAAAGGAGAAGGACCTCTCCATAATAGAAAGAAAAGAACAGAAAACACTGTTTCTCTTTTCTGAGAAACAGACAAGACTGACGCTCTCTCTTATCTGTACCGGGGAGAAATTCTTGCTGCCACACAGCAACTTTGTTAGCATGATGAGGTGAGGTGGCCAGGCCACCAAAGGAAAATTGTGGCCCTGAGATTACTGAGGAACACTGGGTATGGCCTCTCTTGCAAAACTTCTGTCATCTGTAAGAAGACTGCTTTCAAGCTCATTTCATCCTACCTGAGAGAGGAATTAAGGATCTTCCCTTGCATAACTCCCTTAATGCTGACATGAAGTTGAAGGCATATACTTATAGTCAGAGAACATATTACAGGTCAAAAGCTTTTCGTAAGCAAAAGACAAAAACAAACTGCAATACCCAAATGACAGAGACAGGAAATACACAGTGAAGGCTGTACCCCAAGGCACCCTAATCCTGCTCTGCAACAAAATTCAAAGACATGTCAGCTTCTCTGTCTCCTGGGACAATGTGCTGACAAATGACCATAGAGATGAGAAGGCTTCAAACACTATCTTCATCTTCCATACATTTCCTGTTCCACAGAGATACATTAGGACAGGGCATGTATGCATTGTTTTTCAGCCTGATACATTTTTGATCAAGAATTTGTCAGCAGATCAATCTCAGATTCTCAGTGTCAGATTTTTCCAGTTGCTGGAGATAAGCAGGGATTTCAAAAACATCTCACTGCTGCAGTGAGACCTAGATACCTAAGTCTATGTTAAAACTCTTATAAAACCAATGAAGATTTAGTCTGAATCTTGAGCCATCTTTAGGCTCACAATAACCTTGAAAAACTCCTTTCCCTATGAATGACAGGGGTGCTTACCTGTTTTCAATCTTGAAACACATGAGTTAACTGATCCTTTTTGAGAAACTCAGATAGAAAGGAAACTCATCTCACACATGGAATTTGTATGCCAAATACTTGCCCTCTGTTATTCCCAGACTTTTGGCACCCAAGCTGTGCTGTGTAGAATCACACAACCCAATCATCATACATTATTTTTTTTAAAAACAGATAGATGGAAGTTTTTATGGTGCTCTCTTCATAGCCATAGGAACAGTCATTTGGGAATACACCACCATTCATTAGGAAATTAGAGCGCTTGCCTAAAAAAGAGAAAAGCCTGTAGTGACTTAAAACCCCTTTCTGGCATCTACTGCATATAAGACAATCTATTAAGCCAAAATAACAGTATGCTCTGTTGCACATTTTGAATAATTGTCAGGCAAGAGACAAAAAAAAGAAAGAAAAAGGTTGTTTTTTTTACAGGGTAGAAGCAGGCACTTGGATAGTATAAAAATAAGCACTGTAAGTGTTTCAAAAATCAAACACAGTTCAAATAATGTGCTTGCGAAATGTACCTTGACTCTTAATTCTCTACCAGTGCTTGGTTTTGGTTTATTTGCTTTTATTCACCTGCCACATTCCTGAGTGACAATGTCTCCTGAAAGCATAAAGGGTGTGTACAACTGTTGCTTTACTGTTCTGGTTATACACTGTACTTACAATTATACAGGCAGGGCCACCCCAAAAAGCAGAGTGATCAGTGTCCAGCAGGGATGATTAAGGGTGAGACAGCTGTATCCAGTGTGTGGAAGAGGCAGAGAGGCACCTTCTTGCATTAGAGGAGCTCTGGGGGCAGGAGGAAAGCCCAGACACAAGCTATCAAAGTATGAGATAGGCATTGGTGCTGCTGCATAACTGGACACAGTAAGCCAGTGATGCAGCATGAAAAAAGAAGGCTGTGGGTTGTCCAGGGCTGCTTTTTAACTCTACTTGCTTTTGTCCTTGCATTGTCTGAGCTGTGAGGTTTCTCTGCACAGAGAGGCAGAGTGTGGATTGGTCAAAATATGAGATTTATGCATTTATACGCCTAGAAGTTCAGCAGACCTGCCTCTTCAAGATGTGCCATATATGCATGCAGATCCATGCACACTTAGATCACAGTCTGTGATTCCAAACCAAAACTTAGTTGCAGGACTTAAACCCAGGGGGAAGCACAAGCATACAAAACAGAGAAACGAGACAAGAGACAGAGAAGCAGATCTCTTCCAAGTTATTGCTAATGACTACACGGTGCTGTGAAGGCATGCTGTGGCAGTACCACAACAGCAAGGTCCATGGGGGCCAAAAGGAGTGCACAAGCCCTCTTCTAGAAACACCTATACATCTTTGTTCTATTCCGATAGTTTCTCCGGTTCTGCTTGCCTGGAATTTATCATAGACTGCACCTGTGCAAAAGGAAAAGGAAAAGAGTTATTTGGGAGCTTATTTGCTTTCGCACTGATGCCCAGAACTGACCTTGCCATTCTTCTGGAGGTTTTGTGCTTAGTACACCATGAACCCAGCAGCAAACCTCAAAGATGGTGCCTCTCCTGACTGACTAGAGGGCAATGAAGGAAGACATTCACTCTTTTACTCTTGTCTGCTTTCTTTCTTCTAACCCCCTCCTTCTCCCAAGAAGCAACCCACATTTCTAACTCACTCCCAAACTATTGTCTCACTTCACTGACTTTGAATTACCTCTGTTTTAATACCCTTCAGGATCAGCAGAGACAGCTCTCTTGAATAGGGGGGTGTGGGCAGAAAAAGTGCTGCCTCCCAGTTTGGAATAGAGGCAGCTAGAGAAGGTCACAAAGATCGCTGTCATTAAGCTTCCCTCACCTCTCAGGTAATTCCAGGGCACATTCACTCCATTGTTCCCCCACCCTCCCATACCTTTCCTTCCTCTCAGAGCACATATGGTGCCTTGTATCCCAGGCACTCTGCTGCTCCCTGTGCTTTTTTTCCTCCCAAGACACACAATCAGAGAAACAGTCCTGGGCTGACCATGATTCTGGTGTGCCCAGCAAAGCTGGCTCCATCCCCACAGAGCCCCAGCAAGGCACCCTACCTCCAGCAATATGAACTGCAAGGGGTCACCAGGCTTATGGATCAGCAGTTTTTCTGTGATCTCCTGAGAAAGAGACAAACAGGAGGAAAGAATTATTGATCTTTGGATAGATGGGTGCCTGCAGTTCCTGTTCCAATGCCATCTGCATTTTAAAAAGCAAGAATCTCTTCACACACCAAAATATTATCTAGGATAATTTTCTACTGCTTTTTCTTAAGTCTATACTTAAGAAAGCACAGGACAAGGAGGGGTCTGGGGCAGGGATAATTTGGTTCAAGCTAACTTTAGGCCAAACTCCTCATGTAAGCCTCTGGAAGGAGATGAGAAATATGTATTTCACCTGAAATATCTGTAGAATTTTATGTTCCTCCACATAATTCATGGCAACTTGATAGGGGTCTCCAAAAGCCTCTGGATTCTCCAATGATTCAAATGTAATCTCTGCTGCTGACAGCACAGTCTCAACGGTGTTACTGCCATCCTGTGTGGATTCAGAGGTGTGCATCTTGACTTTGAAACCTGAAGCTCACCCACGGGTGAGCTTTCCCTGGATGCAGACTATACAATGAGCAGGAAGTGGTGATCAGAACGTGGTGGCTTCTTGACAGCCAGCTGGTCTGCAGACACTGGCAATTCCACTGCAGATAGCTGGGCTGCAGATGCTGGTGCTTCCACGCCAGGTAAGTGATGGTGGGGATTCAACTGTAGGTGTGTGGTCCTCAGATTCCTCCACTTCAGATTCGGAATGATCGTCGAATCCTTGCTACAAAATTTAGCAGAAAAAGAACAAAAGCATTTTAAACATCTACCTCCACAGAATAGACACAGCATATTACTCCATCCTCTGCAAATATGCTGCAGCCACACTTAGAGCATGCACTAATAGGGTTTATTTCTGTGACTGGCTCCAGCTGCACCTTCTGTATGATCACAGAAACTCTACTTAAGCTCTGGCCCAAACCTTCATAAGTAGTCTGAACTATGCAGCAGTTGTATCTGTGCCTGATCAGCACTGACTAGTTTTCCTAGGGTGAGTCTGAGTGTATATTCTAGGTAGCTTTGTGTCTGCGGAAGTCCCTTGGATGGATCCCAGACCCGACTCATGACCTTTCCTTGCCTGTGACTCCTGGCGAGCCCTCTTATGTGCACGCTGCCTGCACTGTGGTTGTCCTCAGCTGCTGCCTCGTTCCCTGCTCGGTGCAGCTCCAGGTTTGGTCCCTGACAGCAGCAGCTGGAATTTGTGCAGGCTTTACGCATCTGCCCCTGGAGGAGCTGGCCGTGGCCTGTGCTGTGTCCATGCCCCACACGCCCATCCCCAGCCCTGGGACTGAGCGCGGGCAGTCTCGCCCTGTTTCCTTCTTCCATCCCGAGTCCCGCTTGCTCCAATGTTGCCTGAAGCGGGGCGCTGGGTGAGGACCGAGGGGGAGCGGGAGCTGCGCTCACCCTCCTGGAACTGGGAAGGAGGGTGTAGTTCCTGGGGACAACGGGCTGTTGACAACGGGATCGCTTCGTGCACAAGGGAGGCGGCGGGCCGTGGGAAGCCGGGCCGGCTGCAGCTCGGGAAGCGGGGGGAGCGGTTCCCGGCCGGGGCTCTCCCTCACCTGCACCGGCTCTGCAGGGAAGGGCAGGGGGCGAGGCGGGGCGGTGCAGCCAGGGAAGCGGGGGGAGCAGTATCCCGGCCGGGGCTCTCCCTCACCTGCACCGGCTCTGCAGGGAAGGGCAGGGGGCGCTTCGCCCCCCGCCCGCGCCGGCTCTTTCTGCCGCTCGCCGCTCGCCGTAGCCGGGGAGAGGTGGGTGGGCGCGGGAAGCCGCGGCGGTTGCCGGGGTAACCGCCGTCACGTGCCTGGGCGCGCGGTGCGGCCGGCGTCACGCGAGCGCTGAGTGCCGCGCGGCCATCTTGGGTGAGGGCGGAATTGTGGGCGGAGTTCCAGGGCGGGGGCGGCGGGAATCCCGGAGTTCATCGGAAAAGATCAACGAGCGCCACCCTGGCAGCTGGACCATGGCAGTAAGTGCTATGTCCAGTCTTTGCTTAATCATTTTCAGGGACGGTGACTCCACCATCTCCCTGGGCAGCCCATTCCAATCTCTATTCACGTTTTCTATGAAGAAATTCTTCCTGATGTCCAACCTAAACCGTCCCTGGCACAGCTTAAGACTGTGTCCGCTTTTCCTGTCGCTGGTTGTCTGGCAGAAGAGACCAACCCCCACCTGGCTACAGTCTGTTTGCAGGTGGTTTGTAGAGAGTGATAAGGGTCTCCTGAGCCTCCTTTCCTCCAGGCTGAGCATCCTCCAGCTCCCTCAGCTGCTCCCTGTAGGACTTGTGCTCCAAACCCTTCACCAGCTCCATTGCCTTCTCTGGACTCTCTCCAGCACCTCAGTGTCTTGTAGTGAAGGTGCCCAGAAATGGGCTCGATTCAGAAGAGACAGGATTTGAGGAGCGGCCTGCCCGGTGCTGGGTGCAGGGGAACAATCACTGCCCTGGTCCCACTGCTCACACAATTCCTGAGACAGGCCAGGATGTCACTGGTGGTGGTGCCTGGGCCTGGTCCTGGCCCTGGCTCTGGTTCTGGTTTGGTTCTAGTTCTGGTTTCGGTCCTGAAAAAGGACACATCAGATAGCCTGTACAGGAAAGCAGGGAAGCAAGAGGTAGAATAGTTGAGTGCTGAGAGAAATATTTCCGTGTACATTGATGTGAGAGGTACTTTTTCCTGTCCTCAGTTTTACACAGATCCAGACAGTTTGTGTTCTGCGTGATGAACTTCGTCAGAAAAAGCAAATAAACATTCTGCCAGTTTTCCCCAAAGAGGAGATGAAAGGATAAAGATAAAAGCTCTGCTGGGTTACCACAGTAACCAGCTTCTGACATATTTTGGTTCATGCTCCAGTCTGACAAGAGCTGGGTTTGAAACAACTGGCTGAAAGTGCCATGGGGGCTTATGGGGATGAGAGGAGGGGAGATACAGGACTTCAAAAGCTCTTCTAAACTTACAGATGTCACTTCCATTCAGAGTAGTTCACTTTGTGTGTGTTTTTCAGGTTATACCATTGGCCTTTTAAGAGAAACAGCTGCCTCACTGCTCCAGTACCAGGTTCATGACAAAACTTACAGATGTCACTTCCATTCAGAGTAGTTCACTTTTTGTGTGTTTTTCAGGTTATTGGCCTTTTAAGAGAAACAGCTGCCTCACTGCTCCAGTTCATGACAGTGCTGTTCAAATCCTCAGCCACGCTGACCACTTAGTTCATCTTGCACTGGAGCACTGCTGTTTGCACTCATGGGATGCCAGGTCATTCCCTCTCTGATCCCTTCTTGCATCTCCCATTTCTCCATGTGACAACGATGGTTCCAGACAGCACGGGACTGCCAGCTTTTTGTAACTGCTGGTACAGTTTTATCTGAAGGAGGCATCCTGATATCTGTTGTGTGTTAGGGTGGTTGTGTGTTGAGCTGTCCCAGAGCTGTGTTCTCCACAGCATAACTCCCTGCAGGACTTCTCCCATGGGTTTCTCCTCTCTATCCTCTACTGGACGGGACTAAGCAGTTCTCAGCTGCCTGCTGGCTTCAAATAGTGTCGTGCTGTGGGTAAATCTCGAGCCCCATGTGTTCCTTTCATCTGTGCCTCATTGGTAAACAGCAGATCTCTCCATTTCCAACCCCACTGCCTACTGCAGGGATCTGGCTGCTGGGTCTGGAAAGCTAGGATTTTGCACAGGGAAGTAAGATGAATGACTCTATTAAATAAACATCACTGCTCTGTTTATTCTTTCAAAAGAACAGATTAAAAAAAACAGAAGATGCATTTTAAATGCATTAAAAATTCTGAGCAAAATAATGCCTTAAATACAAGGCTCATGTAAGATAAATCACATGGCTTTTTTCTATAGAAGCACATGGAAAGCAAAAGCATATTATTATATCATTATTTATATGGCACCATATGCTAAGTCTGGAACTTAAAGACTTTGAAATAAATAAGAAAACACCAGCTGCAGATTAGCAATACACTCCTTTATTGGGAGTCACTGTGTAACTGTGGCTATCATTCCTGCTGTTAAGTTAAAACTTAAATAAATTGTCAGAGAAATAAGATAGCCATTAGAGATTCAGTGCCTGTCTCCTGGGGACGCTTTTTCTAACAGCTGTAACAAAGACATGCTGCTGGTTTTGTCCTATCTCTGTAGTAACTCACTGCATTTGTCCCTGCAGTATCGCACAGTTGTTCAGTAGAGATGGTTGAGCTGCTCACTATAAATAATGTTGCTTAACAATGCGGCCCTTTTTGGGTTAATAAATTATGCTCAAACCACTCTTGAGCCTCTTTGATTGGTTTCTTGCAAGTCTGCAGTGGAGAGTTGGAAGAAATCACTTTCCACAGTCTGTTTACTTTAAATATTTCTTCTTATTTTATTGAGCTGTAAATATACGTATGTAATAGCCAAATCCTGAAAGTGCCTATCTCAAATTCTGGTCACCTCATCCGCTACTTGAAAATTGTAATGAGATGCATGGAATGAAACATATCAGCAAATTTAAATGGCATTGCTTAAAGGGCCAGAGGGCCTTGATCAGCACCAGGCTGGGTGATTTGTTCCTCTCCTTTGTGCGGGATTTGCTGTCCGAAGCTGGGGTTTCTCCCAGGCTGCTGTTGGTGGTCGGAGCAGGGAGCTTACCTGCCGCACGATCCGTGAGCTGCAGCAGCCCAGTCGATGTCCACAGCCGGGGCCTTGCTGTTCTCTGTGCACTGCAGCCCCAAAACTCTCTGACCTGTGCTTTTGCACAGTTGCAGCCAGACATAGTTAAAGCCTTCCTGAGCTCTGGTGAACAAAGAGCAGGTTTAGGTCACGGAACAATGATCAAAAAAACCCCCAGGCTGTGAGGCAGAGGCTTGGGGCCTTTGGAGAGACATCTCTGCTCATGTGTGGGGTAATGAGGCTGCCCTGCACGTTGGTTCCTTACCTCAATGGTGGGTTAATTGTTCTGCTCTCGATCCAGAGAGTTTTGAGAAAAAAAAACAGGCTGGGAGGAGAGCAGGTCTTAGTGCAAGAGAGCGGAGAAAGCCAGCTCCTGTATGAGGTAGAGGGCAAGGGGAAGAGAGATGGCTGGGGCTGCTGATTTGCATCTAGACCGCTCCTGTACCAGTAAACTTTGATGTAGGTGTACTTCTGGCAGCGAAGTTGAAGAGGAGACACCTGTACCCAGGTGGCTCTGAGTGTTTGTGTGCTGGCAAATGCAGCTCTTCCCGCAGCACTTCCCGCAGCTCTGCCCGCGTTTCCCAGCAGAGAGCAGCAGAGCCTCGTCGCTGCTCGCAGGGCCTCGGGGTGCGGCAGCCTCCGAGACCTTGTGGCAGCGCTTGCCTCCGCAAAGCACAGCAGCAAACCTTCGCTGAGCTCGCAGGCATGCCAGTCCTGTCAAGAGCATTGGTGTGGGCAAACAGTAGACACATGCTCTCAATAGCGAAGATTCGGGGCTTTCCTGAAAACCAAGATGTTTGCAGAAATCTTAGTGAGACCTTTCTTGAAGGGGTGTTTTCCGAATTGTCTTTCTGCTCAAAGTTTCCTGAAAGGGAGTGCCTCAAGTATGGCTTCAGAAAGTGGGGGAAAAAGGATAAGCAAAGCTCTTTCATAGATGACCAACACGGACTAGGTAACCCCTCAAGGTCTCCTTGAGTCCAGTCTTCAGCAGTGCAGGAAAAAGATGTGTTATTAGCTTCTGTGTTTGGAAATATTTGATTTGGGAACCTCTTCACCCTACCTTAGATTTAACCCTTTCTGTTAAAAATAAAGTTTCAACTGATTATTTTTCCCTCATTTGTAATATTACCAAGAATGTTACTGGAGATAAAGATGAATGAAAAAAGTGGGATAGTTTCTTTGCCCAGGTGTCAAAACAAATTAATCTGTGTCTAGTTTAGATGACATTCTCAAGGAAAACAAGACTATGTTCCCTGTTTAGAAATTTACCTGCTGTTCCTATGGCAGTTAAATAAGTCAAATTTGGGATTGTATTAGAAGCTCCTCAACAGTATTAACTGGGACTGGTTTTGTCATTTCTTAATTGTCCCATTCTAGTTCCTGAAACTATTATGGTTTTATACATTCTCTTGGAAAATAATCACAGACCTTCTGGGAGGCCCAGTCCTTGTAAGGCAGAGGGCTTAAGTTTGGTCTCACCATCACATGGCATGAGAGAGAGGGGATGCTGTGTTCTGGCTGAAGTCCACAATGAACCTTCATCCAATCATGTCTCCATCAGCTGTGAAGCCTCAGAAGGAAGGAAGGGTCCAGATGTGAAGTTCAGCTGAGTGAGTGGTGCCTGTGGAGGATGCTGGGCATAAGGACAGCAGCTGGGTACTGGGAAGACTCCGGTTTGCCTTTTTGCTCCATCCTGTGAATGCTGCCTCATTGCTGTGCTCCCCTCTACTGTGAACCCGTTCCTGGCACTGGAAAGGGAGGCAGGCATGATACGGAACAGGATTTTGGAAGGCAAATGTATCATGCAGTGACAGCAAGACCTTGGATAACCCTGTCAGTATGTCCGTCTTGAAGAGCCTGTAATCCACAGATGGTTGTGAGGGGCTTTCTGCATTCTTCAATGCCTTGTGGCCAGAGAACCCTCTTCACCCTCTCTTCCCCACACCCCCCTATTTGGCCTGTATGCTGTGCTAATTTAAAATATGATGCAGACCACCTCAGCCCTGGGGTCACTCAGCTGGCCTCTACAGCCTCCCACCACTCACCCTAGGTAGGATCTGTCCTGCTTTATTGGTGCAAATGGTACTTTGTCTCTGAATCGTAGCTGTACATGGGAAAGGTGCAATTAGC